GTCTGAGGATAAATAAGTTTCTGAGATACGGCAAATGACAGTTCCTGCTTAGGGCACCCCTTAGGCCTCTGCACACATTTTCCTTATCTGGGAAAGGAGAGCTGGGCTGGGTCACCTTCTCAGCTCTGAGGGAAGCTCAGGGTCACCAATGGACAGGGCCTAGATGTCATTTGCTTCTCTGTTTCACACATTTGCATGAAAACTGGCAATGCATGTCAGTCTATTCAAGTTTCTGAGAAGTCCCCCAGGCAAGGCACCTGTTGAACTTTGTGGATAGACCCTGGGCCTGTCCAGGGTCCTTTAACACCCAGGCTCCCCTGGAACACCTATTAGTGTCCCATGGTGGGAGACGCTGTGCAAACACCAGTTTGGCTGGTCCTTGGCCTCGCACCAGGGGCTGGGTCAGATGCCCTCTCACACAGATTCCTCCCGCTTTGGGAAGGATGGCAGGGCAGGGATCTTGGCAGGGCTGCCCCTGTCTTCTCCCCTGCCCCTCGTGTTCTGGCCCTGGTCCCCTCTGCTGGAGAGTCTACATTAATGTTTAATCCCTCCTGTTCCTTCCCAGGGGAGCAGGGCAACGAGATACCCCCAAGCTGAACAATTGTTAACCTCGATTTCCCACCCAAACCTCCCTGGCCGGGGCTCAGAGCATTCTCAGAGAGCAGTGATGGGTAGCCAATAACATAGGACAATCATTAACACCCCCTGCCTGCTCACCCCCAGAACAGCCGCTATGTCAGGGGGCTGGACCCGGACCATGAGGGTTCCAGCTCCCCATTCGCGCAGTACAAGGAGCCCATCTTCCTCAGTGTGGGGGTGGGGGGAGGCACACCTGGGAGAACTGGGGATCATAGTCTTCCAAAGGACACTTCAAATCTATAGACATTGCCCCAGGAGCCACTTTCCAAGTCTGTTTGCTTCTTGTTTCGTTTGGAATATGAATCCATTGCAACCTGGAAGGCTTGAGTAGTGCTGGATGAGGGGACTGAGGCCTAGAGAGCGAAAGTGATTTGCCCCAGGGCACAGAGCAAGGCAGCCGCAGAGCCGGGATTTGATGCCAGGTCTTCTCTCCCTCTCGATCTGAGAGCCACCGGGTACGGGACAGGCCCTGCACAGGGCCCAGTGCACAGCGTGGGAAGTGCTCAGTAGTAAGCATCCCTGTCCTGGTCATGGGGCGCGCACTCTCCCCCCCGTTTGTCATTTCTCCTCTTTCCCTGTCATCCCCACAAGGCTTAACACAGGGGGACAGGGGGACAGGCTGCGTGAGGACAGGTGGCTGCCCAGGAGGCTAGACCTGGAGTAGAAGTTAACAAGTTTGCTCGTTCCTTCATTCACCCATGTCTTCCTCCCCTCATTCAAACAAATATTTATTTATTGAATGTTTACTATGTGCCTTAGAACAATTTCACCTCCTTAGACAGGCCTTTTCTGACCTCCCATTTATGTAGCTACTCTTGCCCTATGCTCTTATCTCATAACCCCAATCTCCCTCCCTCCCTCTCTCCCTCCCTCCCTCC